ACCACTAATAAAAAGGACCTCCCTGAAGTTTCCCTCCACCTTCACAATGCCATATACATATGAAGCCTGTCATAAAAATCCCACCTACGACGCAGGTAGGCAACCCTTACCTAAATCCTGGAGAATGACCATCTCCCCTTGCAACCGAATATTAACCCCCTCAAGTCATAAAACCTTTTCCCGCGACTGAGTGTCGCCAAGCTAAGAAACGCTGGTAWATGTCACGTAGGCCCAACAGAAATCTTACACTCTAGAATTTTCTGGAACCAAAGATAACTCCTAGATATTTTCGCCCGAGACAATGTAACTCGCGAAACTATGTGCCTAATTGGATGAACGACTAAATATGCGGAATAGCTAGATAAACCTGGATATAAAGAATATAGCTAGATATAAACCTAGAATAAAGATGTCCTAGAATAAATAAACCTCATCGCTAGAATCGTACCAAGTATGTAGCCAATTAAAGGATAATGAAATGTAATCGTTCGAGAACAACGCATTGATGATTGATTAAGGATTAACAAGATGTACTTAAGAATGATTGACTAAAAGATGTATAATGAATATAAAAGGGTATAAATGCGCAAATACTAAGCTACGAGATTATATATATATGTGTAATATGTAAAAATATGTTAGAGWTGTAAATGTATTAGTAGTCCATGAGGACATAAGAATTTTCTCGAACGAGGATGCCTAGGACGCTTGGGCCAGTTAGAGACTAAGAGTGGGGGTACCAGAGCTACCCCTCCCACGAAGGATTTTCGGGGGCTATAAAAGCCAGAGTCCATCGCCCCCAAGCACTTACTCGAGTTTTTAGTTTTCACCTAGTTACTTCAGTTTCAGTTTCAGTCTGACTTACTTCAGTTTTCGCTTACTTAAAGTTTTCTACTTACAATTTTGAACTCAGTTATAGTTTGACTTCGATCGTTACTACTAGCTACCAGCTATTCGATATTTAAATATTAATTGATTGATCGGTCATAATAAATAATTAACTTTCGGGTCTTTGAGTGTCTCGACCCCTTTGGAAAGAAAACCAGCCCAAGCCTCCTGTGCAATCTCGAAAGCAACCAGCAACTGTACCGAACACTGTAAGTCACCAATCATATTTTTATCATTAAATTGTTGTTAAATCAGAGCTGCGGACCACTAATCTTCTCCTTGCTTCAAAACCTTCCTCAATCCACCCTCTTATCGTACGCTTTTTGCCAGACTATATCACTGTTTTAAACGAGAAACGAACCAGCCTGGTCCCGGTTAAACTCGGTGAAAGCAGAGTGACCATAAACAGGCATTACTTATACTACTTAACTCACTTCGTCCTCTAGGACGTAACAATATTATAAATAAGTAAATCATAATTATATAATTAATAAATTATAATATATATTATTAATATATAATATTAATTATATTATATTATAATAATAATTATAATATATATTATTAATATATAATATTAATTATATTNAATTATAATATATATTATTAATATATAATATTAATTATATTATATTATAATAATAATTATAATATATATTATTAATATATAATATTAATTATATTATATTATAATAATAATTATTATTACTATTAATTTATATTATATTTAAGTGTTTTTTTTTTCTATAATATTGCTAGGATTCTCCGGCCATGCATTGCTGTGGCTTTGTTATAAAACATTGATCTAATATAATTCTAAACTATTTAATGCAGTCAAAGTATTATTCACTAATATTTTTTGAGAATTCTAATTAGGCATAAAACAATATAAAATTTTTAATATATAGAATATATAATATATGAATAAAAACACAGGAAATAATATCATAATTACAATGGAATACATAAAATAATAATACACGAAAAAATAGAAAAAGTAAGGTTATGTCGTATGTAAATTGAAATATCACTTTAATTGTATGATACAGCGCCGTCTATTTAAAAGTTCCAGTACCTAAAGATCTAGATACCCTTTAAATAATAAATCCTTAATTTAACAATAAAAAATAAAATAATTTCAATAAAAATTATCCTATATTCTAAGTTGAAATAAAAAACATAAAATAAAAAAAATTTCATTAAGATCGGTCCAGTAGTTTTGAAATTCATTTGAAACTAACAATGTGACACTGAATTTTGATATATAAAGATTTTATATTAATTAGCATAATTTTTTTATTTTCATATTATTATTTGATATTAACGTGTTATTAGATTAATAAACTAAACTGCATCAGAAATTGGGTTCTTTCTCGATATTCGTATTTTTTTCTCCGTTATTTTATATATTCTCTCTCTCTCTCTCTCTCATTCTTTTTTTAGTTTTACTCTTACTCTTAGAAGCTTCTTGGTTTAGTTTTCTCTCATAAGTTGTCTTCCTTGAATTTTCTCTCTCCCTCTCTCTCTTACAAACTCTTACTTTTCGAGCCTTCTTCTTCTTCTTCGGTTCGTTTTCTCCCCCCGGGTGTTTTCGTTGCAAGCTTCTACTTTACTCTCTCTCTTTCTCTCTTTCTCTCTCTCTCTCTTTTCGTTTCCTGAGCACGTGTGGGGGGGTCTCTCTTCTCTTGGCAGGTAGTTTGCGAGAAGGTCGTTTATCTTCTGGTAGTTTACAGGACCGAATAAAGTTCTGAAGAGGCGCGAGAGGAAGTTTTCGGTCTTGGCCCTGCGTGAAGATAGTTATGCCAGTAAAAGGGTTGCATCCCCTTTCGTCGTGGGTAGGGGAGGGATGCGTCGCGACGACGCCAAAGATGATGACAAACCCGACGCCTCTTGGATTCTTAAGCCAAGCTCAAGCCAAAGCCAATCCAAGCAGAGCAAAGCAAAGCAAAGCAAAGTAAAGCAAAGCAAAGCAAAGCCAACCTGGCTACGCAATTTTGCAACCACTCGAGATAATTTTCATAAGAGGAAAAGAGAGAGAGATAGAGAGAGAGAGAAAAATAGAAGAGCATAGACCTTTAAAACTTTTTTCAAATTTAATCTTTCTTTTTTTCTTTTCCCCTCTCCCCTTTGACACACTTCACACACAACTCTAGCAACTTTTATTGTTCTTATTTTCTTTTTCTTTTTTAGAAATAATTCGCTCGCAATAATAAAATAGTCCTCGGGGTTTAGGTATATATTTTTTGTTTTATTTTATTTTATATTATTTCATATTATTTTTCGTATACAGTATTACCAATTTTCCATTTACAATTTTTAATTTATTTTTTATTTAACAGAAATATTTAGTTACAACGATAATATTATTTGTAATTATCTTAACCACTTGACCTATAATTTAACTACACGGTTGCGGTGCCGTGCGCTACGATTTAACCAGCACTACAGTATCACATTCTCACCGCTCCGAAGCGCTTCGGTAACACCAAGATTTGGACATGTTTAAAATCTTTTTTTGCCTCGGGACCAAGTGCATATTGCTTTTAGACATCTAAAGTACACTTTAACACTTAACGGACGGGTCGAATCTGCTCTGTCTTTCCTAATTTCCGGGCATTTATTAGGAGAATTAAATAAACATGAATGTATGGATTTAAAACGTTGTAGTTTTATTAAATCAATTATATTTCTTATAATATTTTATAACGGTATTTAAACTTGTAACTGATGATATCATGAAAAAATAATAATGTGCATAAAAGAAAACCCTAATGTAACATACTAAAAATTCATGGAAAAACGTAGATCTACGTGACTCGTCCTAGGAAATCACAACGGAAAAACGTATATTTACGGGACCCATCCGTTAAGTGTTAAACTAAAAAAAAAAAAATCGATTTTTTGAAAATTTTAGAGTGGTGTTACCTCTCAAATAGCGCCTCAGTGTGTTAGTAGGCTCTTACATAAAGAACTTTACTCGGATATGAATGAATACTCATGACAACAATAATATTTTATTAATTAATAATCTACTTTTGTGTAATGCCACAAGGCATTTCTTATACTCCCAAATAGTCTCGCTGTGTTTTTTATGTTTGGCACAGACTTTACATCTTCTTTGGGGTTTTTTTTTTAGCTTCTGTGGGTGAAATTAACCTTGCAAGATGACCCAAATATTTTGATTGTAATCGCATTGGTATGTCACCAGTAGACGGTCTTCCACGATTTATGTATTCAGGTATATATACACTTTCTAAAATTTGTTGCGCTATATCTAATCGAAATTGGTAAAACGTGCATTTTTTACTTTTTGATTTATTCAATTTCTTTGTAAATAAAACATAAGCATTGATAAGTGTAATATCCATTAGTAGAAAAATATTTTTTTATAACTTTTCACGTGTCTACTCATTAATGAAAAAGAAGATAGTAGCTATCTTGGAAATCAACCCTACCCATGCCATCATTATACTCTAAAACGATATTGGGCTTTGTAATGATGTTATTAGTTTCCCATCTCTTCTTTTTCACTTCCATCATTTCAATTTTTTTATGTTTTGTGGACAATAAATATATATCTTTTTTGCCCTTCCACTTTGAAGCTAAAATACCCTTGCACGATCTTGAAATAGTTTCTGATCGTTTTAGCTTTATCTTTGCGAGATCGTTCGGCATATTCTTTCTGTTACATCTAACTGTTCCTATGGCATTAGTTTTTATGGATTGTAGTTTTTGAAACAGATTTGGTGAAGAATACGAATTATCTAGAAATAAGGTGTGTCCGAAATTAGATATTGGTGTGAACATAAACATGGTAACATTTTCGGAAGCACTGGTGATTGAATTTTTCACTGTATCTTGACCTGTGTATATTTGAAATTTGATACAATATCCTGATTTAGACTCGCACAATTTATAAAATTTTACTCCAAAACGTGCCCTCTTTGACGGATTGTACTGTTTATATGACATTCAACCGGTATATTTCATAAGAGATACGTTTAATGACACATATTCTTCGGGAGTGTAAATACTCGTAAATTTTTCATTGAGATAATCGATTATATTTCGTAATTTACACAAACAATCATCTTTATCCACAACTTCATTATTGGAAAAATGTAAAAAATGGGAGAGTTGCGTAAATCTTTGTAATGATATTGTTTTTCGAAAAATGGGAGTTTCAATCAGACTTTTTCTTGACCAATAGGATTGGATATTTGACTTTTTTAAACGTGCCATCAAGATGCATAACGCAAAATAAGCATGAATTTCATCAATATTCGTATCCCTCCAATTTTCCTCAGATTTGTTTATTTTTCGTGCTGTGTTTCCTAACGTTTGACTCACGTAATGATTGCTTCCTGTAACAATGATATTCCAAAAGTCTTTTGATAATATTTGGTTTAGCATTTGCAAGCTGTGGTTCCTTCTGCCATTTCTATGTTTATTCCAGCAATCCGTGAGTATTGCCAAATTTTGCTATTGTTTTCCTTGTTTTCCCATATCCATTCTTCAGATATAAAATTAAGTTCACAATCTTCACTGCTACTTTCTTCTTCACTATCAGATACTATAATTCTACACCGCTTCCTAAAAGAACAAACAATTTCCTCGCAGTCGCTATCTGTATCAGTATCGAATCTAATAACTAATCGATTTCTTTTTGCACTTGTCGAAACAATATCACTGAATTTACTATTATTCTCCATTTTACAATATAGATTAACAGACAAACTCACTTATAGACAGACACCAGCCTTCTTCCTTTCTTTCATATATTTATATCAAAAATGAGCTACACCCCGAACAGTTATTATGTTTATTATATTATATTATATTATATTATATTATATTATATTATATTATATTATATTATATTATATTATATTATATTATATTATATTATATTATATTANATTATATTATATTATATTATATTATATTATATTATATTATATTATATTATATTATATTATATTATATTATATTATATTATATTATATTATATTATTCTTAATCTCTGCATGGAATTTTTTCTTTCACTAAGATTGATAGTGTATTCAAACAGAAAAAAATAAAAAAAATAAATAAATAAAATATTTTAAAAAAACTGAATATAGGGCTTATCGTCTACATATTATGCGACATCATGCACTCTGAAACTGTAGCTTGAGAAATAAACAACCTGGTTTTTACGCGACGTATGGTATTCGTCACTTTCAGTTTTGGGACAGAAACATCTCGACGTATGTTATACGTCATTATAGGTCAAGTGGTTAAATATGTAATTTTGAATTTGTCACTTTTGTATAATTTCGTTTAAACGATTAAAATATATATACAGGTATCCCTCCAACAACACGGTATCTCTTGACACGATTTCGCTATAACACAATTCATAATTGCAAGAACCCTCCTACAACACGGCATTCTATAAAACTGTTTTCTTTCAAAAAACCTTTGTACAACACTGTACTTCTACAGCCGCGACGAGTTTTGCCATCCTAAAGATACAGTGTTGCGGAAAGTATTTCTTTTCATCTCCATGGCCTGAAAACAAAAGTGTCTCACGCTGCTGTGGACTGAAAACATCAATGTTAAATGTTGGAAGAAGATATGGCCCCCTTCAGTTGAAACAGAAAACGTGCGTGAATCGTCACAAAATGAAATTGGTGACATACTAGAACTTGCTAAATCAATCGGAGGCCAAGGTTTTGTGGATATGGCTATTAACCCTTTCGCTACGGGGCGGATCTCCGCCGCGGTACTCCCGCAGTACGGCGCGCTACACCGAAACAGTGCACGGTGCACGCAACCGATCGTAGCGGTCGCATCAACGCCTTATTGTAACCTGCGTTCTTGGCTGGTACTTTCGACGAAAAAACTTGTTTTAAAACTGAGTATTTATAATTTATTAACATGCGCACTTTTATTTACTGAGACCAAATGATATTACACAATATAATAATATTATACAACATGATATAAGCGTATGATTAGAATTGATTTTAATAATGAAACTGCGTGTGGTATTTTTCAAAACATGGTGTTGCGCATAGGCCAACATCACAAATCTTACATTGATATCGCGATTCCCTCCTCTTATCATTTTTAGTACAGACTACACACTTTTGCAACGGTTTCTTACGATTTGTAAGCACTAACGTAATCCGCACAGACCGTTCGAGCCGGTGTCGTAAGACTGATGATCGAGGCATTTGGTTTATTATTGAAGTCCGTAAAAAACAAATGATGCAAAACGAAAGACTCACGCGGCATGTCTAGAGTGAGATATTCTATGCATAGCAACTGCAGGCGCTTATCATATATACAATTACGCGACATCTTTAGTGGGAGCGACTATAGTCGCCCATAGTACCTGAGCGGCATCACATGGAAAGCGACTACAGTCGCCCGTAGTACCTGAGTGGCATCACATGTAGAGCGACTATAGTCGCTCGTAGTAGCGAAAGGGTTAAGGACGTTCAAGGTTTATTAATGGAAGAAGTTGACGAAGCAGATTTGATGGAAATGATATCCGAAACTGAAAATCAAATCGATTCTGAGAACATTAGCACTGATGAAGATTATGCAATTGATAATTTAACATTACAAAAATTAAAAGAAATCTTAAGCTTAACTGAAAATCTCGAGTCATTTATCTTGAATGCAGACCCTTTCGTAGAAAGAAGCCTAAAATTCAAAAGAGAGCATCAAAACTGTCTAGCTCCATACCGAGAAATTTACAATGACCTGGTAAGAAACAACAAGCAAAGTAAAATTACAAAGTTTTTAAAGAGGGAAGAAGATGCAAAAAGTTTAAGGGGTTACATGGGTTTCACGGATTCAAAAAATCGATTTTTTTTTGTTGCTTATTAAAATCTACAACATCTCTAGAATATTATCCGAAAATTTCAACTTGATCCGAGTAATAGTTTCAGAGATACAGCCTTTTAAAGTTGCGCGCTCAAGG